TACTACCACCCTATCCATTTCTGCCACGAAGCAGTCATGGGTTCCGGGTAGAAGGGTAGCAGTTATACTGTACAATTGAGACTTAGACTTCATGCTTCATTGAGATCTCTATAAGCTCCAGTACGGTTACTGATACCAAACGACTATGAACTCGTTAACTATAAGCAATAAAAAAGAAAAAATAAACTTCGATAAAACACTATTTGTAAAGTAAATAGTCTGTTCTAATTTATACTAGAAAAAGTTATTACTGTCACGTTATACACTGGACAGCAGTTTATCCTGTTTATAAAAGAAGTTGATGTGATTGTTCTTAATTATATAACACAGCGTTTTTATTGTGTGGATTCTTAGGTGAGGGAGAAGGTGATCACGGTGATGCTGATAATGCTGAGGAACCGAAGGAGGGCGAAGACGATTACGATTGGGGCAACGGAAGCGGCAACTGGGAAGATGCCCCCGGTGAAGAACTTTGAAAGGGGGTAATTTTTTTGATTGAGCAGAGTACTGCTTTATTTGCTTTCACAAATATCACTGACGTCTTTACCAAGTCAAAATCTCAATAGCGTTGGGTAATATTATGTCTATCTTACCAACATAGCTAGCCATCCATGCATTATCCGCAGGTGTTTAGTCAAATACTGTACTTTTTTTTATTTTTTTTTATTGCCGTATGACAGACGAGCATACGGCCCACCTGATGGTGAGTGGTTACCGTCGCTCATAGACGTCGGCAATGCCAGGGGCAGAACCAAGCCGCTGTCTACCGTTTAATACTCTCCACAAGCCTCGTTTGAAGAAGGACATGTCATAGCACTCAATTTATGAAATGCATAAAAAAAAATTCATGTCGTATTCAGCATGCAGAATTAAACTATTCAGTTTCTTTGATTTGACAATAATAAAAACATTTCAGGTATGCAACATGGAATGCCGTAGGAGCAGAATGCTACGAGGATTCCCATGATTTATTTAAGTTTGCATTACGTGTGAACAATATATAAATTAAAATAAATTGTGTTTTTATTACTCTCAGTTAATGAGCCAAGTTCCCAATTCAAAACAACAGAAATAATTATTGAGTTTACTACATATTATTGTTGTTGAGATTACTACAATCGTTTCCGAAGGTTTTCCGGCACAATTATGTCTTATTGGCAAATCTAAGTATAATTTAAATTTAACCCCATTTCGGCTTCGAGTACGATTGCAATATTCTCTGTATACACAGGATTACGAACTTTCAATTTCTATTATCGTATTTAATGGCAAAATATTAGATCACAAGTTACTGATAACAAGAAGTGCGCCTGCGACGTCGTCTTCCCATGCAACCGCGAGTGAACCCGTACCACAAGGCCAGTGCTAGAACTACTAGAAGTCCCACAAGTAAAATTCCCTGTATCTTAGGGTCGGAGAGATCAAGTGGATTGCCTTGGACAGTGGGCGGGCTTGTCGTTGTCGTTGATGGTTTCTTTACAGCCGCTGAACTCTTCGCCATTGTGTTAGATGATCTTGATTTTTCAATTTGTCCCATTTCTATTTCACGTTGCTTAGTTTCATTGTTGAGGTTTTGTACATTAAATTTTTAATACAGATTTTATATACTTTTTATCATTTTCATTTTAATGAGGTGACATTACTGATGTTAATATGAAGACTGTTTATTGAAAGATGATTAAATTGAAAGCCTAGAAGTCATCTGTTGTTGGCACTTTTAAGGAGAACATTAGTCAAATTTGAAACGTACTTTGAGTAAAGAGGTTTAATCATAAATTTCAAAAAATTGGTGTGAGTTGCATTTGGTTATCATCATCATCTTATTAAATAAAACCAAGTTTTATTGGTTTTCAGGACAAGTTTTCGAATGTGTTCAAGAATTGTCCTTTACTTCAATTAAATCCATTGAAGAAACTCCTCAGCCACTTGCATACAATATCAGAGCCGTTATTGGACCCCTGTTGCTCTAGCACTAGGAGCAGGCTTAGAGTTCTCGGTAACCGTACTCGTCGAACTCGTCAAATAGTTCATATTATGTGTTCGATGCAACTTAACCCGCTGCGTTTCCCAAGCCCGCTGAGTTTCTCGCCGGATTCTCTCAACGAAACTGAAAAAGCATCCGAGTCACCAGTAATACGTCCTTCCTAAAAATAACCATAGAATCTAACCCATGAAGGTAGACGAACACATCAGTCACCAGAGTTTACCAAAGTTGTGACTGGCTTTAGAAACTATCCAGGTTAACAAATAAAAATGGCCTCAATCAGTGCAGTCAGTGCTTACTTAAGTTACTTAAAATAGTACCTATTTTGGCTGTATCCTGTCTTAGAATAGTAACAGGTAGGTACCACCACTCTGCCTATTTCTTCCGTGAAGCAGTAATGCGTTTCGGTTTGAAGGGTGGGGCAGTCATTGTAACTATACTTGAGACCTTATATCTCAAGGTGGGTGGCGCATTTACGTTATCGTTACGTTATTACGTTATATTTACATCTATGGGCTCCAGTAACCACTTAACACCAGGTAGGCTGTGAGCTCGTCCACCCATCTAAGCAATAAAAAAAAAACTTAATCTCTTCATGGTTGTTGAAAAATGTAAGTAAAGAATTCACTAGAGAAAGGGTAATAACATTCTCTAACAGCGGTTAACAACTACACCAGCGTACTATACCTAATTACCAACTGGTGTTTACTGGTGGTTAGGCATATTCTATGCCTATACGGGTAGGTATCACCATCCTGCTTATATCTGCCGCAAATGCATTTCATTATGTATAAATGAGATTTTGAATTCATGTCGGCAGTTATGTTGCCGATCACGTGGGCCGTGAACCCGTTCATTGATTTACACAATATGGATTTATACGTACCCTGGCAATTATGCCTTTATTAAAAGGCAGTAAGAGCATTACACATCTCTCATAATGAGGACGAGTCATAGATGGAGGTGATCACGAATCTCAAAACAGAGGAGCACGACTGGAGGCGGAGGACTAAGACAGATTCGGGGCACGTTGGTTTTCGGGCTAGTGCATTTTATACAATTTTATATATCGCCTTTTATACTACCAAGAGACTTTTGTTACCGTGGAAAACTGACCATGTCCACCCTATCCCTACGAAGGGTTACTCAGTTTAATCCTTCCAACAACAGGCCTATCTGGTAATTTTAGTAGTAACTGAGCGAGTAACACAAAAATCCGCGCTTTTCATCATTTCTATCAATGCAACAATGTATAATTCAGGAAGCGAACAATTTTTCTTTCTGAAGCAAACTATCTAGGATGGGTGAAATGAACTAAATTAAATGCAGTCTATGGATTCGGGCGTTCAATGCGAAGGGCTCGTTCGTTAGCGCTATGATTCCAATGTGTTCTGAGAGCGAGAGCATTAGGTAAAATGGTACTTCACCCTAGGTCTAAGAATTATGCTACAGAAAGCAATAGTTAGGCTTCGCGTGGAATACCGTTTTGGATTGTCAATAATCCTCATTTCACAGACAGCTTAGAATCTCTTCTTATACGGAGACTTTAGTGTGCTTTCTTGTACTGTATGTTGCATGGAGTGTTCAGATGTATTATTCCGAGATTATCATATTATCGTACATTTATATGTACCGCCCACTATTGGGGAAGGTTATGGCCACTGCATTCATCAAGATATAATTAATCATTTTTTTCTTCATATATTCTCCGCGGCGCTATGAAATTCTACTGACAAAGTTTAAACAGTCCTTAGGCGTAGGCAGTGGTCATAACGCACGTATATTTAACCAGAAGGGAATATAGCCTGTCTATTAAGGTCATAAAAGAGTTCAATTCATTGAGATTAATCATTTATTAATGATGACCGACTAATTTACGGGTCTAGGAGGTAAATTGTTACTTGAAATCTTACAGTAACTGAAAATTCCAGCATCCAAAATTAATTTGGTCTTGGAAATACACCAATAAAGCAATTCTATATGTATCAGTTCAGTGGTTTAGCACAAAGTATCATCGTTTTTAACAAAAATAAAACAAATTGTGTAGTGTGAAAACTTAAAGATTTTTTATTGTTTTAGACATGAAATATTAATGTTACCAACAGACAAACATCATATAGTAATATAAAATAAATGAAGTTTGTCTATCAAGCAAGGAATTTCTATAATGTTTGTGTACCAGCTGACCTCAAAATAATTTATTTATTTAATAGTAAACTAATTTACGGCCCGTCTGGTGGTTTAGTGGTTACTGAAGCCCAAATTGTTTCACATAGAACAGCCAAAAGCTAATATTTTCTTTATATTAGGATGCCAGAAATAAACAAGATGAGAATAAGTATATTGAGTGCTCTAATATCTAATATTTTTAACCGAGATATCGACACTAACTGGGTATCGAACATGGTCCATGTGGTATAGTAGTCAGGGTCACTGAGCACTAAGCCAATGAGACATAAATCTTATCAATATTTAATTTCTTTTTGCATCCATTTTCCTTCTAGTATCACAAAATCTACTGTTTCCTATATTTAAGAATTGTTTGAGTCTTAACAGTTGAACAATGCTAAATTTTATCATGTTACAAACCCAACAAGCAGTAAACTAAAATCTCTTTAAAATTGTGTGAAATGTTTACAAGGTTAACCCTAACTCTCATAATATCTATTCAAAGATATATTAGGAATAAATTAACAAAATAGAAATTGTTAGTTGCATGCAAAGAGAAATTTGATTTTGCATGTTTGCAAATTGTAAAGGATGAACAGAAATGGTTATTGTTACAAGAAAGTGTTTTAATATTAATAATAATCTGTTCTTATAGATAATGCCTTTAAAAAAACACGTAACAAGCTTATAGTTTTAGATGATATATATCTAGACGATTTTATATATCATCTAAATGAGTTTAAAATAAGTTTTAAAACACTTGAACATAACAAGTGATTTATCTTTTGTAATGTAACTGTTAGTTTATTATGTAAATAGCTATAATTTGTGATTTAAATAGATTCTCATTTGTTTATTCCAGAATGTTTTAATTAAACTGAAAGATGTTTCAATTTTACAAGCAACCATTTTATAAAACTTAAAATGTATTTTTTCACATAACAAAGTAAAATTTTTTAAACTTGAATTTGAACCAGCCACTGATAACATGTCCATTAAAGTCAGAATAATGAACATTGTACACTATTATATGTAAAATGATTGAACTTAACATTTAATATTACAAGTATAACAACAGTTCAAGTGTTTGTTTCTGAAACTGGCTAGTCAAAACATTAGAAGCACATACATTCTGTAGTTTCTCACATTCTTGCCTTTATTAAATCTAAATTAACCTAGCTTTACCACAACAGTAAGACTTGGTGCTTTCTTATTTCTAATCAAAAAGCACAAAATATATTGTCCATAATTACATATGCTTAACACTAGTGAATTTTTGGCTATTTAATTGTTGACCAACAGTTTATTCTATATCAGGTAAATCTTCTTCTTCACCAGAGCTCGAATCATCCTTTTCATTATCTCCACCAAATTGAATGTTCATATCTTTGTCCGAAAACATGTCATTCATATTGTCTAAATCGTCTCCACTTTCATCTTCATCTTGCCAGCGATTAAAATCCACTTTAAGCCAATGGTGTTTCTTTTTATCACTTGTTAATGAAGGCCAGTATGGCTCATCAACCTTTTCTTTCGCCAATAGTACCTCAATTAACCTTCCTTTGTTAACCCACATGCTCTTTTTAGGATCAACTTCAGCATAAAGTGGTATTAAAACCTCGTGCATTTTTTTTTCTGGTTCGCATATTCCTTTGAACGTAATCGATTTAGGTTCAATGTTTATATCAGGCTTTTCACATTCAACATTGAATGTTAAAAAGATACGAGCGTTTCGTTGAGCCCAAGATACTGATGGTGGAGTTACTTGCGAAGTCATGTTTAGCTGGAAGTTGAAGAAACAGAGTTTACTTCGCGTTAGAAGTTTTTGCTACCTTTTTTTTAATGAGTTTAAAAAATAAGATGGTACCTACCTACTTACGGATTGCAAATAAGGTTTCTTGACTTTTGAGCGACGCCGCTTCGTTTCTTTTCTAAAAATGACAGTACTTCAAACTTTCAATCAGTGCTGCCAATCACTATTGAATTTCCGCTAAATCTTTAAATCCCCTCAAATAGTTCTCAAGTTTGTACTATTAAAATAAAAGTGCATTTAATTCATGAATTTTATGTAAGTAAAACGAAAGCTAAACCGATATCATGTGAAATGTGCAGAAGATGGCAGAGGTTTGAGCTTGGTCTAAAATGGCAGAAGCTTGTGCTAGTATGTGATAGCACACTGTTCAAAATTGATATTTGACGGTAAATTAAATTGTTTCTAAAACCTGAATGTAAAAGAGTTAACTATTTTTACCACGTCTTGATCACTGGCATCAGAAGCGCTGCTGTTTCATCATAGATATAGTCTAGCAGAGTAAACTGGAATAAACTGAAAAAGAACTATTTAATTTGATGTAGGAAGTGTGTTTTTATTACGTTTACAATATATGCACAGGCAGTATTCGAAACTGGTACCTAGTTTTTTTTAATTGAAATCTCTCTCGTAAATCTTATTACTCAACCTTTTTCACTATTAAAGTACTTGTAGGTTTTGCGTAGAACTTAACTCTTAAAAATAAATCAATTAAAAATCACTTTTGGATTTTTTATCCCACAATTTTAAGAATAAGCAATTAAGCTTGTATCCCTACTATATTTTTTTTCATTTGAATTGTCCATTAGACTGGCAAAGGGAACATTGCCCATACACTCAGGTTTTTGGAATGATTCGTCCACGTTCATGTTTGGCTGTTTCACACTTGTGCATCATCAAAGCTGCGGCTAAACGCTGAATAAGCCACTTTTCTGACATGTCTAAACATGAACAAAGATTAAATCAACAAAATCAAAAATGCACTTTGGTTTGAAGGTTGGGAAAACCGTTAAACTAAAGGATATTGACTTACACTTAAAAATTAACGTTAATTTCCATCATTTTGCTTTAGTAGTTTTATCAGAGTACGTTAATATTGAATTTAGTCTGGATCGTAGAAAATACATCATTGACGAAAAATCACAAGTAGTCCGAATGTACTTAAATTACCAGTTGCTAAGATACGAGTAAAGTTTCAACAATAACTATAATTAGAATAATAGCTGGGAAAACATCACGTACGGTCATCCGGCCCCAGATTAATATTTTTGGTGTTATGGGTACCAGAGACATATATACATACTTATATACCTTTGGTGGTCACGACCCTCAGACATGAGGAACACGACTCGAGGAGGAGGATATACCTTTAAATATACATATATACATATACTAGCTGATCCAGCAAACGTTGTGTTGCCTTAAATAAGATTTCTAGGGAAATTCTAGTATAGAAAAAAAAACCTCATTCAACGACATAATACCTCATTAAAACAAAAAAAATATATCAAAAAAAATATGTTTGGGATGGACAACCCTTATCACTTAGGGGTATGAAAAATAGATAGTAGCCGATTCTCAGCCGATTCTCCATACTGAACATACTATTGATACACAAATAAAACCAAAAAAACATGGCTGAAAAATGTATAGCTCTCAAATATATTATGTGTATAATAAATTATGTATAGTGAGTAAGACAGGAGACCGGCTTCGTCTTCATCCCTACTACGTGATGTTTGCTGGATGAGTGGTGACACCTGGCGGGGATAACTGATCGATTGATGGTTGATCAGTAGTCGACCGGCGAGGGCGGGGAGATCAAATTGAATTTAAAATAAATCATAATTAAAGGAACTTGAAATTATAAACTCTGAATAAGAATTTATCGTAGGTACTACAATTATAATATTTGATTGCCATCTTGCAACCTTATTGCGGATCTGTGCATAGAATAAAAAAAATAAAAATCGGGATGGAACAATAGGGGTTGATCGTATAAGAGTGAAAATTTCAGAGTAATATGAAATTTTTTATTCTAAGTCATGACAAAATAAAAACAAAATTTTTGCAAAAAAATTAAAGTTTTTAATTAGCAAAAAAAAAAAAGGGTTGATTGTAGAGGGGTGAAAATTTAGGGTTGTATGTATTTTTGTATGCTGTATCATAAAAAAATAAAAACAAAAAATGTTGTCTAAAAAATAAATAAAAAAATTTAGGGGTGGAACACCCTTAACATTTAGGGGGATGAAAAATAGATGTTGTTCGATTTTCAACCCTGACCAATATGCATGCTTAAGATTCACGAAAATCGGTCGAGCCGTTTCGAAGGAGTTCAATCACGCACACCGTGACACGAGAATTTTATATATTAGATAGTTAGTAAACACACATATAAAGAGCAAAAAAACCTGTTATACGAATGTATGCCCGATATGGGGAATCAAACCAAGACCCTCGGCGCAATGGTTAGGGACGCTAACAACTACACTACCGAGTCAGTCAAAGTGTCAGAGTCACAGAGTGATTCAGTACATAAGTGTGCTAAGTGCACTATGTATGAAGTGTACTTGGTCTCGAGCATGCCCTGTTGTTTTTAATGACACTTAAAATATGACCCTTATTTGGTTATCGTTTCCGTATGTGGCCATTTTTATAGCTGTTTCACAATTTGTACACATTTACACACACTGTCTATGAATTGATTATAAACATATTCGTTAGGTCGGAATATAAATAAAATTATATTTGTCTATTTCTGCCAATCTTGGTTATGCAATACAACTATTAACATCCGTGACCGATAATGACCATTCACCGTTAAACGCGTCGTTAGTTCATGATCCTTTAAAGGAAATAAAAAAATTAGTTGATAATATGTGCCGCCCACCGATCATTGTTCATCACCAATCATCGCACTGGCAATCACTGGGGCACAAAAGGAGTGGAGATCTCGTATTGGACGTCGTAACGTGGGCAGGCAGCCAACGAGTTGGACCGACAACCTGGGCAAAATAGTTTGTAGGGACTGGATGCGAAAGGCAAGAGACCGAAAAGAATGGAGTGCATATGAAGAGACCTCAGTATTGGGTGGAATGAATGGCTTGAAGAAGAGTCATTGAAGTTATTGTTCATACAACTAATGTATTTCACAGAGCCCTACTTTAATATAGAGCGTTAAAGGAGGCCGCTGCGTATCCTGAAGCGGCAATTAATCTCCTTTTATCAAGTTCATATTGCGTGCACCAGGAACGGTTATGAATCATGCCGTAACTGCAGTGTTCATGTTTTTTTTTACGCTGTCTACGGCATATATAGTTGTTGCAAAGTACTACTGCGCGCAGTCCTTAGTTGTGTGACTAACAAATCTGTATACGCGTCAATGTAGGCGTGAGAGCACGTACGGCTAGCAAACAAAAAATAATTAATTCAAGTTATGGATTTCACCCATTTTTATGTTTTAAGTATTTTTTTATTTACCTATTAGGAGTGGTCAAAATAAAAAATATACAACATCGTTAAAGTAACTACTAATTTACATTAGTAATAATAATTAATTACAGGTAGAAACGTAAAATAAACACAAAAGAAATGTAATCCTAAACAATACCTTAACTCTACACAAAATAAAAAGCTCTCTCCGTTATTATTATTAATAAATTATGTTACATTTCTACGCTGTCATCGTCTTCATTGTCATTGTCACCATCATTACCTTCACTGAAATTTTTAATAAACTGGAAATCATAGTCGAAACATTTCATGTATTCTTTTTAAAAAATTTCAACGTGTTGCATGTATTTCGCCAGGTGGTTTGGTCTATATTATTTGTGCACTCCTCTATCAACTTTGGATGACAAGGCAAAGTTACTAGGCGATGCACTGCAAAAGCAGTGCACCACCAGCACTCAAACCGCGCACCCCGAACACACCGAGTTAGTTGACAGGGAGGTCGAGCGTAGAGTATCCCTGTCGCCTCGGACGTGTTACCCCCCATTACCACAAACGAAGTAGAAGCGATCTTACAACCTTCAACCTAGGAAGGCACCCGAATCCGATGGCATTCGTAATCCCGCGCTAAAAAATTTACCAGTCCAACTGATAGCAATGTTAGCTACCATTTTAAATGCCGCTATGATGAACTGTATCTTTCCCGTGATGTAGAAAGAAGCGGACATTTTTGGTATACATAAGCTGGGAAAAACGAAAATTGAAACCGTTAGTTACCGTCCGATTAGTCTCCTCCCAGCGACAGGTAAATTATACAAATGACTCCTTCGGAAACGCCTCTGGGACTTCATTACCGAAAAGAAAACATAAGTAGACGAGCAGTTTGGGTTCCGCGCCAAGCACTCGTCCATACAACAAGTGCACTGCCTCACGGAGCATATCTTAATAGGGCTAAATAGGCGGAAACCGATCTCGACCGGAGCCCTCTTCTTCGATATTATAATTTTTTTTTTATACTTGTGCCTAGGTATCGATGTAGTTACCAACATTTAACTTTTACATATAAAGACTTAAAAAAACATTCCCCCAGCGGAAGGAATGCAAAGGTAGATTTCGGGTTCGATAAAGTTCGGTTCGTGGATCGCGTTTGGTATTTTAAATATTTTACTCCTTAACAGAAAATGGACCGTGAGATAGTTCACCCACCTAGTGCATTAAAAAATGCTGCAGTCTAATAAGTGAATGTTAATTGAATAAATTGTCTCATATGGTATGTTATAATCGCTAGCTCAAAATATGGATTTTGATAAATTACACAAAATAATTCAATATTGTTTATTTTTGTTCGAAGTAAACCTCTATGGCCTTTATCATGATAGCTTCGTATTCATACAATTTTATACAGTTACACATTTATATCGCAAAATAAATAACGTATTCTATATTATTATTAAAACTTATTCCTAAAGTTTATTTGACCAACGTGAGCACAACACACATTTTGTAAAAACATTTTCAAATTCTAAATGTGTACAATCTTATGGTGCAGGAACTAAAACAAATAGATTATATATTTCCATAGAGTTATTGGTTACTTTTAATCAACATTGTTGTAAAATAATCCCAAAACCTAGTCTTATAATATCTACTTATCGAATCAGCATTTTTCTTTCTTTTGGATTACAATATTATTCGAACGGTATAGGGGGTTATGCATGATAAAGTTTCCGACAGATAATAAACATATATTATAATCGCCACTTCGGGGAGATGTTGCTATTGATAAAATAATAAGATCCTCAAAGTTTCACATGTTAAACCAAAGTGTTTTTGAGGAAATATTTTTTTTAGAAATAGAAAGAAAGCTCCGAAATGGCTGTACCGATTGTAATTAAATTTGAGTGTGTTGTAGAGCCC